TGAACCCCTTACAAGCCATCTCAAAACCGCCCTGCGTGTCAGCTCTGCACCATGCTATACACAAGCCCTATAAATGAGCGCCATTATACGTGGGAAAAATAACTGTCACCGAATCACATCGCCATGAGTTGCTGTTGTTGCTCTTGCTGCTGCTGCATGTTCCCTTCTTGAGGCACTTGCACTTGCTGCTGCTGTTGCTGCTGTTGTTGCTGCTGCTGTTGCTGCTGCTGTTGCTGTTGTTGCTGCTGCTGCTGTTGCTGCTGCTGCTCGCCCCCACCCATGAGCTGCCCTCCTCCCCCACCGCCCATGCCCATGGCATGGTTAGCAACGAGCGTCTCAACATAGTCCGCTAGCACCTGCTCATACAGCTTGCGCAGCCGCTCCAGTGCCCGCTCCTTCTCCTTCTCCGTTGCACCGTCCAGATGAAACGTCTCCGCTATGAAGCGCTGGAAGCCGTTGATCTGCTCAAACTGCACCAAGGAAGGGGACAGGGATGGCGAAATGCATATCAGTGACCAAAACGCTTAGAAAACGCACACACGAAGAAGGCAAAGTGTCTGGATTTCCTGTCAAACGAACGATTTTCCCGGTCAAGCAGGGCGCACTGACCTGGTCCTTGCCTCCGGCCTCAAAGGCGATGCGGCAGAGCAGCGGGATGTCGACCTTGTGGCCCACGACCTGGGGCTTGCCGGTGGGCACGGGCTTGTTGTTGGTGCGCAGGTACTCGTACACCGCCCGCGTTGAGAACTTAGCGTCCGGCCCTATGGGGTCCATAAACGTGTCTGCTGCAGGGGGAGCACATGGAGGCACGGCAATGGGGGGGGAGGCGAGTGCAGGGGCAGGGCAGTGGTGGTTCAATGCAAGGGGAATCAGGTCCTTTACTGGCCTTTTGATAAACGAGTGCAAATGCATGGGAGTGACATGGAGGCACGGGCGGTGACTCGGCCTGGGGTTGATGGAAGTTTTGATGATTACAGTCGCAACCAGGCGACTCACCTTGCACGCGTTTGGGCGTGGTGCCGACTTCGATGCCCATGGGCTCGGACAGCTGGCGCTCGGACCAGCCGGGCTCGTAGGCCTCAAGGAAGGCCTGCTTGGCGCGGTTGGGCAGGTCATGCGGGTGCACAAAGGGCACGTTGGCTGGCCACCCCAGCTGCAGCCGCAGGTACGAGCAGGGCGGTTCGTCCATGGCCATGTGCTGCTCCTCACACTCCTGGTAGATAGGGCAGAAGCGGCAGGAAACGCAACATGAGACGCACAGAGCAAACCCCACTGTTGTCAATTAGTGGCACAGTTGATGAGCCAGCATTCCAGCCTGTAAGAGGATGCAACAAGGTGATGCCCTTGCACGCAGGGCGGCAGGCTGACCTTGAGGTTGCAGAATCGGATCTTGATGCCCTTGGCGTCCGCCAGGTCCTGCACCTTCTCCTTGAGCACGCGCTGTGCCTCCATGCGCAGCCGCTTCGACGGCGCCAGCGACCGCCCGTCGCTGCCCATGATGCGATGCTTCTTGCGCCGCCGCACGTTTGGCGACCCTGCAAGTGCCACGCACACAGCCCCAGTCAGACAGGTCCTGAGAAGTAATGCATGGCGAGGCAAGGCGCCCATGTTCATGGGGCAGAGCGGCCCAGTGTATCTTTCCATCACACTCAAACGTCATCCCGGTAGAATCCCACACTTTCGGTTCCAGGCATCCAGCGCGCACCTGGTTCGACCATGGGCATGGCGGCGCCCATGCCCATGGGGCGCAGCAGCCCGTTGTACGAGGCAGCGGCGATCTGATCAATGGGGTGCTGCCGCAGCATGAAGTCCTGCACCGCCACCGGCTGCTGGAACGGCCCCGCGATCGCGTGCCCCGAGGCCGCCATGGCGGAGCAGTGGATGATGGAGGAGGCGCGCGGCAGCAGGCGGAAGAACACGGACGCGCGCCCCTCCGGCACCTGCATGCCCACCGACGCGCTCGCCAGGTCCGTCTTGTACAGCGCTGGGCTCACGTACCCGCCTGTGGCCTGGTATGGGGGGATCGCCGGGCGGAGGACGAGATGAAGACAACGCACGCCACCCACACGCGATACCTACTACGGACAGAAACGACAAGAACATGAAGGGGAAAAGGGTGACGCTGATGGAGTCCTGGGTTGATAATGTACCTGATATAGAGTTAACCCCGTAATGAGTATAAGGTCGTTGGGGCCGAGGTTGGCGTCTGCTAGGAGCCATTGGTTCTGCGGGTCGCGGATGTACAGCCCAGGGCGGTCCGACTTGATCAGAGTCACCAACCCCTTCTCCGCTCGCGCCTCGGCATCCTCCGGGGGGATGAGGAGAGGACCCTTGTCGTCCATTGCTGGGTCCATCATCGTCTCGCTGCTCATCCAACGGTCACCATGTCAGAATGGGATCAGAGAGAGGGCACAGGCACGAACATTGACGAAATGGACTGCGAGGAAAAGGTGCACGGACGGAAATTTGTTGGGGTTGGGGGTGAGGGACGGGGGAGGGGAGAGGGTGGAGGGGGTGCGGGAGGGGGGGGAGGGGGAGGTGGGGGTTAAATATGATCTGGATATTTACTTGGCAAAGCGGCGTCCATGGCAGGTGACTGAGAGCACGGAGGAGGAGATCTCGTTGGCCTTGAGGGGAACGTTGTCCAGGAGGTCCGTGAACGTGTACGAGCGCAGGTCCAGCGACCTGCCTATCGCCTCCAACACCGTTCTCGAAGTCTTTCCCATGCTTCCAAACGCATCTGTTACATCGAAGGGGAACAAAAATAGGAAAACCAGGCACACACACACAAAAGAACAAACAGGTGGAAGTTAGACGGAAGCCGAAGCACCACTTCTTCAAATGCAGAAATGAGGCGAGCAAGCAACGGACCTGGTAGGCATGACGGAGGAATGGAATCTTCTGGAACAGCGCTGATTGGTGTTGCGCCTGGTCGGAACTCGTACACCTCCTTCCCCACATGCGGTTCGCAGTAGTACCCTGCGGTTCGGTTCCACTCCTGGGGGTCGTCTGCGCTCGGAATGGACTGCATTGCAGGGGACGGTCGCCGCTTAAACTGCACAGACGAGACAGTTGTCAGGTAGGCTAGTGCAGGAAAGCTGTGCTAAACGGAAAGGTCCGTGGAGCTTGCCTACCTGGAAATAAACGCGCGAGGAGTCTAGCGTGTATCGGACCAGAGCTTCATCGCCAGGTGGCATCTGAATGATTGCTGAATCACAGATTATAAACGTTGTGTTTCTGTCAGTAAAACTGCTGCCTTCCAGAGCTACGATACATACGCGGCGACAACGTTGAGCACTTACCGTAGTTGAATCGAGCTAGTGAGCTCATTAGAGTGCCTAGGGCCATGCGATAAGTCTCATGCGGTAGGCCATCACGAGGAATTAAGTCGACTGCTCTAACCGAAACTGGGTTGCCTGCTGACATAATCATGTGCGGCGGAGGCATGGCGGGAAAGGCTATCATCTTCGCCCGCTCGTCCTCGTACGCCATTCCCGGCATTTGCATCATCTTGGCGAAATTGCACTACTATCTAGCGGCGGTGATGGATTCGACACTCCGCGAATGAAAACTTGAAATAGCTTGTTCTCGAACGAAGACCTGAAGACACGTGTAAAAAGAGGAGCCATCGTCGTCAAGCTCAAGCTGTGGAATAACCCCTAAACAGGTATGCCAAATTCTAAAAGCTTGGTACAAGAGCAAGCTGAAACTAAGTTTTGATTTGCCTAATGGATCCCTACCTTGATATGTGGGAAGGGGGTGCTGTAATTATTTTTTTCCCCAGCTCGAAAGGTGGCGGCTGAAACTTTCAAAAAGCTCTGCGGAAGACTAGAGAAACAAAGCTCGGAAGGACAAGTGAAAGCTAGGGTCCCTGAAAAAAATAGTTCACCACAGAAGTGGCAGAGGCGAAGAAAGTTTGAGCGAGCAGGAGAACGGGAGCGTGGGAGGCTAGGGTTTCAAGAGCAACAAGGAGGACAGCTCAAAGCCACGTATTATCCGTCCGATTCAAAATTCATCATTTTCAACCGTCAGATGCAACAGCATCTCGGTGCTCTTGAGGGGTTCAGCAAACGTGGAGCTGCCCTCATGCTCCAATTGACCACCTTCCACACAACACACAAACTCCTCGCTCGAAAAATCAAAACGACGAAGGTTGAACCCTCCGTCCGATAGTTTGAATCGGACGGTCTTCCATGGGTTACTCTCTCGAACAAGGTTGTTGGGCAGGAGTGACGATCAGCTGAACAACGCTCCAATGCTTTTTGCGTGAGACTGAGAAAAAAACTCGTTCACAAACAATTTCACTACTCTTCAGGTTGGGCTAAATGAGTGACTACACCGCCAAATCATATATACATTGAACTTTGATTACCACTCTAGATAGACCTGATGAATGGTCATGGGAGGAGACAAATGCGCCGCTCGAGATCGATGTCAAGTGGAGCAAAGAATTATGGTACAAACAGCTTGTATGTACCACACTGCTATGCACAACTTGCTTGATGTTTGACACAACTTCTGTCACACTCTCTTCTCTTGGTACACTACAAGATAACTTTCAAGATTTCATACATAAATGAGAGGCTTCATGTAACAATCAGATACATCAATTCGTCATGGAGGGGGGCCACTGTTTCCAAACCTAGAGAGCACAAACTGGTCAAGCTCTCTCTGCCGCCCGTCAAAAGAGGATGTTGGCGGGTTACCAGGCAACGACCGCATGCACTGTAGAATGAGATCCACGTCCCGGTACATTCTGTACAGCTCAATGAAGGCACAGGGAAAAGCATGGAGAAGCTTTGCTAAGAAAGTGTAGCTCTGCATGCTGCACGAGACGCCCAAGACCAGGAGAGTTACAATAACACATGGAAGAACGTGGGTGCTTAACAGGAAAGAGCATACAGAGAGACCATGCAGAAGCAGAAATGCATAAAATGAAAAGAACACTCTCCCACCCACATTGGGCTGCGAAGCAGGCATGAGCAGACTTCAAAGCCACTTCAACAACGCACGAGTGCATCAAGCAACCCTCTTTCCCCCCCACCCTCCTCCTCCCTCCCCCACTTCCCCTCTGACCTGCGTTTGGCCTGCGGTGTGGGTGTGTCGATCTTGGCAAAGGAGTCGGCGAGCTGCACGTGGAACAGTGCCACCACCCGCCTGGTGTGTTGTGCGCCCACACACACACACGTGCGTGCGCACACCCACAGGACAGGCACAAGGGGCAAGGAGAGGAGAGGAGAATAAATGAAGATGAGGCGTGGTTGATGGCAGGTTGAGAGGGGGAGGGGCATGGCTGAGAGACCGGAGGACGAGAAGGGGAATGCGGGTATGGCAGCACTTGTGGCACGGGGATGTGAGAGGAGTGTGAGGACAAGGGTATGACAGCATATGTGGGAACGGGAATTTCGCAGCAAGAGACAAGATAGGAGTGTGCCTGGAAATGAGGTCTGCCTGTGGGAACAGGGAACGAGAAGCAACGCTGGGAATGAGGGGCCACCAATGCTATGGTACAGTACAGCACAGTACAGTATGGTACAGTACGGTACGCACGAGAAGATGGAGCGAAGGTCGGCCTCGAGCAGCAGAGGGGAGAGGATGCGATGCAGCACGCCCACCTCCTGGCGGGGGGGAGATGGCGGGGGTGAGAGCGTGGGGGTCACAGGGTCGGGGTAAGATGGTGGGGGTGTGATGGTGGGGGGGAGATGGTGAGGGGAGATGGTGAGGGGAGATGGTGAGGGAGGGTGTGGCTTAGAGCGGTTTGGTTGATTGAGACAAGAAGGAAGCAGAACAAACGAGAGGCTGTACGATCTGACACTCACTGACAGGAACAGAGTATCATCAGGCACAACAGCTACAGCATGCGAGGCATGAGGGGCATGCGAGGCATGAGAGGCATGAGAGGCATGAGAGGCATGAGAGGCGAGAGTGGGTGAGAGGAATAAGAGGCATGCCTTGGTGAGGGCGCGAGCGAAGTTGGAGGGCTGCTGCTCGGCAGGGGAGTCGTCCGGGCGGCAATAGGTGTCAGCAACTGCGGGCAGCGAGCGCATGTGCACCAGCAGGCGCTCCCTCATGATCGCCACCAGCTTGCTGTGGATCTCGTCCCTGTGCACCCTGTAGTCCTGGTGGTGCCGTGCGGTGAGGTGGGGTGGGGTGGGGTGGGGTGTGGCATGGTGTGGTGATGGTGGTGGCACATGGGATACATGACAGGAAGGCGAAAACGACGCTGAGGGAACAGCCAAAACTTAATATGAAATTGGATCTGGAACGACGAGCAGGGGGGGCATGCAGCATGCAGCCTACCTGCGGGCATGCAGCCTACCTAATGGTGATACCAGTGGCATACCTGAGCCACACGGTCGAGGTGCGTTATGACGAGCCCTCGCCGCGCATCCGGGATGAATGCAGAGAGAATGCGCCGCAGGTCTGGTGGGACATGGGGACGGGGGTGATGGGGGATGGGGAAGCACGTGGGTGTGATGAGCGCATGGGGGATGAGATGAGGGCAAGGAAAAACAACACAGTAGCAATACGAATGCGAGACGCAGACGGGGGCGCATGCAGAGCAGTGATGAGAGTGCAGTGATGAGAGTGCAGTGATGAGAGTGCAGTGATGAGAGAGCAGTGATGAGAGTGCAGTGATGAGAGAGCAGTGATGAGAGAGCAGTGATGAGAGAGCAGTGATGAGAGTGCAGTGATGAGAGAGCAGTGATGAGGGAGCAGTGATGAGAGAGCAGTGATGAGAGTGCAGTGATGAGAGTGCAGTGATGAGAGTGCAGTGATGAGAGTGCAGTGATGAGAGTGCAGTGATGAGAGTGCAGTGTGCAGGTCAATGTTGCATGCAGCAGCTGGCAGGGGTGGAGAGCGCAGAGGAGCAGATGCACTGGTGCTGAGCTGATGAATGAAGGCTTGCTAGCCCATGCATTCACGTGTTCCGCTGCAGGCTAGCCTTCTGATATAGGCAGCTGAGCACGTCAGTCTCTTGTGACTATACTAGATGGTTGACTCACCGGGGATAAGAGCATAGACGAGGGAGATGCATTGACTGGAGAGTGCGAGGTGCTTCGCTGTAATGGTCTTCAGCCCTGACACCTGTGGGCAGGGAGGCAGACAGGGAGGTAAGGAGGGAGGGACGGGAGCAGCATGGGAGCAGCCCCAATCTCATATTTGTTAATGCGACAGCATCGCTAAGCGCCTACACAATGGCCAGAAACATGGACTGCAACGCCTACCTGCACTGACAGCCCTACCCCACCTGCATGGCGCCAGCACCCAGCACGAGCTGGCAGGTGCGCGAGTTGAAGAGCTTCAGCACGTCGGCCAGTCGCTGCACCACCTCCCCTGCCAGCGAGGGGAGCGCCTCCGCCACTGCCACGTACTCGCGAGTGACTGAGAGCAGCGTGCATGCACTGGTGGGGTAGGGGTGGGGAAGGAGAGGATGGGTGTGAGGATGGGAAAGGAAGGAGAGTTCTTCGCTGCACCACCTGCGATGGTAGCGCCTCTGCCACCGCCACGCACTCTCTGGTCACTGAGAGCAGTGTGCATGCACTGGTCGAGGGGCACGGGGGTGGGGGAGGGAAGGAGAAAAAATGAGAGGGTGGTTGAGAAGGAGGTGGGCACAGGACAAGAGACCAGGCGCTGCATCACCTTTCCAAACACCAAGAGCATGTTGGGTCGTTGCAGAAGCACCACCCCACCTGCCGGTCACATGGCAGAACCTGCTGGTAGGGGGGCATGAGGGGCACGCTGCATGCTTCACAAACCTCAATCTCAAACCAGGAACCCACCTGCCAGTGACATGGTATTTCACTCCCCGGCACACGACAGTCTTCACAGCTGCCCTCTTCTGTGCCTTCGGCCCCTCTGCCGATCCAGTGGCAGGGGAAGCAGGGGAGGCAGCAGCAGCAGCAGGAGCAGCAGCAGCAGGAGAGGCAGGCGCAGGAGAGGCAGCAGCAGGAGCAGCAGCAGCAGAAGAAGCTGCTGCTGGCGCTGCTGCTTCCGTTGGTGGTGCAGGTGCTACAGCAGCAACAGGTGGTGCCTCCCCAGCAGCGGTTGCAGCAGCCGAAGCAGCTGCACCTGGCACCGTCTCCCTTCGCTGCAACCCCTCTGCTTCTCCCTCACCTCCCTCCCTCCTCAACTCCCCTCCCTTCTCCACCCCCTCCGCCCCTACCGTCTCAGCCTCCCCTCTTCCTGTTGCTCCTCCTTGCCCCATGACACCTACCCCATCTCCACCAACCTCCGTTCCACCCTCGCAACCTTCTCTTCTCCCTCCCTCAGTCGCCACACTACCGTCCCTTCTTCTGGCATTCGCCTGCCCTTGCCCTTCACTCATATCACCCTCTGCTGCCTGCTCTAGCTGCACCGATTCTTGTGCCCCATCTTCCCTCAGACCATCCCCAGCCTGTGCTAAACCGCCACCTGTCATCGGCCCATTGGCCGCTGCAGTGTCCCGCGCGGCCTCATCTGCAGCCCTATAGCCATCCACAGCAGCCGCAGCAGCATCAGAAGCAGCAGCCATATTAACAGCAGCAGCAGTAGCAGCAGCATCAGCAGCAGCAGCAGCGGCGGCCTCATTAGCAGCAGCAGCAGCAGCAGCAGCAGCAGCAGCAGCAGCAGCAGCAGCAGCAGCAGTAGCGGCATCAGCAGCAGCAGCAGTAGCAGCAGCAGCAGCATCAGAAGCAGCAACAGCAGCAGCCGCATCAGCAGCGGCAGCAGCAGCGGCTTCGGCAGAAGGATCCAGGAAAGTGCAAAAGAAGTCGACGAGGGCTTGAGTGTGAGGAGTGGCATCCACAGCCGTCCATGTCTCCTTGTTGAGCAGTGAGAGGATGAGCGCCATCTGGTGGGATGATAGGGGGAGAATGGAGAGGAGAGGAGAGCGGGGAGTGGGAAGCACGGAAAAGAGAGCGGGGAGTACAGGGGCCCAACAGGTGTGAAGTGAACGCGCGTCTACAGCCGTCCATGTCTCCTTGCCTCTCGCCTTGCCTCTCGCCTTGCCTCTCGCTTCTCACCTTCCTCCTCTGCTACACCTCACCTCCTTCCTCTGTTATCCCTCACCTCTCTTGAGTGGTGTGTCTCCACAAACGCCTTGGCCTGCGACTGTAGCGCGCCCCGTATGCTGTAGCCCAGCCTGCCGCCCACCTGCGGCACAGAGGCAGGGCGAGCGAGGGGAGTAACGAGACAATGTCACCACACACGGCAGCATCAGCTCACCAGCTCCGTTGGTCCAATGAACGCCCAAGTCCCAGCATACATGTCCACCAAGTCGCTGAGAGGCAGCAGCGAGTTCACATTAAAGCACATGTGCCATAACCCGCACATGTGCCATACCCCGCACATGTGCCATACCCCGCACATGTGCCATACCCCGCACATGTGCCATACCCCGCACATGTGCCATACCCCGCACATGTGCCATACCCCGCACATGTGCCATACCCCGCACATGTGCCATACCCCGCACATGAGCCATACCCCGCACATGTGCCATACCCCGCACATGTGCCATACCCCGCACATGTGCCATACCCCGCACATGTGCCATACCCCGCACATGTGCCATACCCCGCACACGGATCACCTAATACCCCATGGCATGTCCCACAAATGAACAGCTCACCCTTTCCGTTGATGCGATGAAGTCGGAGGTGACAGCGTACATGTCCACCAAGTCATTTCCCAGAGGCAGCTTCGAGTTACCTAATACCCCATGGCATGCCCCATGGCATGCCCCATGGCATACCCCATGGCATACCCCACACAACAGCATCTCACCCTTTCCGTTGATGCGATGAAGTCTGAAGTCACAGCATACATGTCCACGAAGTCGCTCAGCGACAGCTTCGGGTGCACCTGTGCTCGCACACCCAGCAGCTTCGCCCACCTCCCGTGCGCCACCTCGCATGCATCGCTCACTGCCTCTGCATTCTCCCTCAGCACGTCCGCTCTGAGGGGGAGAGGAGGGGAGAGAGGGTGGGAGGGTGGGAGGGTGGGAGGATGGGGAGAGGCGGAAGGGAGAAGACCGTGCGCCCATGCGCCACCTCACATGAGTCACTAACTGCCTCCGCATTCTCCTTCAACACGTGGGCTGTGAGGGGAGGGATGGGGAGTGGTGGCGAGAGTAAGGACGGACTGTAACTGGGAGGGGAGAAAACGAAGCACCACCTTGCCTGCGTGCAGTGGGAGGTCAGGTAGAAGCACAGGAGGCAGAGCCCAGGTGGGAACACAGGTGACAGCGGTCAGGTGGGTGGGAGCACAAGGCACCTGAGCTGTTTGGACGTGGCTAAAGCAGTCACGCTGCTCACATCGCCCCCTGCTGCCTCTCCGCTCCCAGCTGCTCCCCCAACGCCTCCTGCCGCCCCTCCCCCTCCCAAGCCTTTCCCCACCCCTTTCCTCCCCAACAGCTTTGACTCAGCAGCCTCGGCAGCCACCACTAGCTCTGCCCCCGAAGCAAACGCCGCAGCCACGGCAGCAGCCTCGTACCCCACGGCAGGCTCGGCAGCCGCAGCTGCAGCACCGGCCGCAACTCCGGCGGTGGCAATGCCAGAAACTACGTTCCGAACGGCTGCCGCCCGCACGAGGCGGGTCTGGACGGCAGAGAAGACGGCCAGCAGCAAGTGGACAAAGGCAGGGGGGGCAAGTGCACGGAGCTTGAGGGCGAGCGATGGCGCTGGGTTGGGGGTGGAGGGGGAGGTGGCAGGGAGGGGAGAGGGGAAGGAGGGGTGAGTTGGGGAAGGAGAGTGGGAGGACGGTGAGGGTTGATTGAATAGGTACATGTTAGTTGGTTGAAAGAAGGCTACATGGGTGGAAGAAAGTGGGTGTGAGACCTCATTCGCATGAAGAAAAACACAAATAATGAGCACAAGGCTGAACCGCCTCCCTTCTTTGAAAAGAAGAGCGTGAAATTGACTCCAAACCAACGCCTCTCTCACAGCAACAGGCTCGCTCCCTTCCCCTCCATATTTCAGAGAAATTACTCCAAATCAACCGCGTCCCCTGGTTCTACCCCCCACTGCACCTCGTGCCTCACTGTTCAGCGCATCGGCTGCAGGCTCGCCCCCTCCCCTCCTCATTGGAAACCCGAAACCCTAAAATGTTCAAATCAGCCCATCCACCTCATCCCATCCCATCCCCCACTGGCCGCATGTCTCACCATTGAGGGCATCGGCTGCAGCGTCGCCCCCCTCTCCTCCTGCACCACCCGGCGCCCCGCCAGCAGCAGCAGCGGCGGCGTGCTGCAGGAAGAGCAGCGGCAGCAGCTCGCCCACCACCGTCTTCACGGCCGCCTTGATGTCCACATTCACTGCATCCCGATAGGCCCGCAGCACTGCCGGCAGGCGCGACTGGAGGGAGCAGAAAAGAACAGGGGTTAGGGAAAGGAAAAGAACGAAAGAGCTTTACGGCCGTCTTGATGTCTGCACTCACTGCATCTCGGTATGCGCGCAGCACTGCAGGCAGGCGCCACTGGGGGAGTGGGGAGGATATGGCGTTAGGGGAGCGCATGGAGATGAACAGCCTTGATGTGTCCGATTCACTGCATCTCGATATGCCCTCAGCACTGCAGGCAGGCGCGACTGGTGGAGGAGAGATGAGAGGGTGGGAGACGGGTATGGGTGGGGGGGAAACAAGGTGAAGGAAGAACGTAACAGCCACCTGAAGCCCCACCCTCACTGCATCCCAGCACACCCCAAACCTCACACTCAACCCCTCACCCCTCACCCCTGGCCCCTTACTGTGCACAGCAGGCTGATGACGAGTGGCAGCAGCAGTTGCTCAAAGACAACCCACCCCACCTCCCTTTCCTCTTCCCACCCTTCCCCTCCTTCCCTTATGTTCGACCTGCATGCCCGGTTCACATGAGAGCCAGTGCTTCGACCCCTAATTCTACACCCAAACCCTCACCCCTGACCCTTGACTAACCGTTCGCAGCAGGCTGATGACGAGTGGCAGCAGATGCTCCCTCAGGCGAGCCTCCCTCTCCTCCATGCCCTCCCGCTGCATGCACCACCATGGATGGGGCGAGGCCACGCATGCTCCAGGCACGGGCAGGGAACGGACGGGGCATAGATGGGGTACGGATGGGGTACGGATGGGGTACGGATGGGGTACGGATGGGGTACGGATGGGGTACGGATGGGGTACGGATGGGGTACGGATGGGGTACGGATGGGGTACGGATGGGGTACGGATGGGATACGGATGGGATACGGATGGGATACGGATGGGGTACGGATGGGGTACGGATGGGGTACGGATGGGGTACGGATGGGGTACGGATGGGGTACGGATGGGATACGGATGGGGTACGGATGGGGCATAGATGGGGTACGGATGGGGTACGGATGGGGTACGGATGGGGTACGGATGGGGTACGGATGGGGTACGGATGGGGTACGGATGGGATACGGATGGGGTACGGATGGGGCATAGATGGGGTACGGATGGGGTACGGATGGGGTACGGATGGGGTACGGATGGGGTACGGATGGGATACGGATGGGGTACGGATGGGGCATAGATGGGGTACGGATGGGGTACGGATGGGGTACGGATGGGGTACGGATGGGGTACGGATGGGGTACGGATGGGGTACGGATTGGGTGCGGATGGGGTACGGATGGGGTACGGATGGGGTACGGATGGGGTGCGGATGGGGTACGGATGGGGTACGGATGCGGTACGGATGGGGTACGTATTGGGCATGGATGGGGCATGGACGGGGCATGGATGGGTCATGATAGGGGCACGCAATGGGTTGGGATCCATGCATGCACGTGGCGGGGCGAGGCATGCGACAGGCATGCATGGGGCGAGACAAGGTATGGACGGAGCAGACACAGAAACAAAGGGCAAAACATGGCAAGACACAGGACTTAGAGAAGCGGAACAGCAGTTCACACAGGAGAACGAGCAACAGACATTCACAAACCTGTGGGCCCAACTATTGAGACGTCTTGGAACTCGATTACTACACACAAGCACAGGCAGGCTCGGGATACTGGCTATGAAGCACGCCAGAACAAGGCTGATTCTGCACGAGTCACCACGCTTTGTATCTATAGTCACACAGTTTCTGCACACACCTCGAGGTTGACTATAGAGAGCAGCGTTGCAGCTGGGGGCACGCTCTTCTGCAGGTTGAAGCTGGTGACTATGGCGGAAGGCGCCACGTCAGCATCATCGTGCACTGCTTCCCGGACAAAGTCAGCTGTAAGGAGGCTGCGAGGGCGGAAGGGAAGGGGGGGGTGAGAGGGGGGTATGGGATGGACGAGAGAAACAGAGGTGACTTCTGAGTGGACTCTCAAGTCACTGCTTCCTGCACAAAGTCAACCGTTAAGAGACTGGGAGGGCCGACGGATGGTGTAGGGGGGAAAGGTAAGGGATGGATGATGAAGTAGAAGCATGCATCGTGGGAGTGATCGTGGATGTCTGGGCGAGTGGAGGCAGGAGGAAAGCAGAGGAGAAACAGTGGCAGGAGGGGAGACAGACCAACCTGTTGACGGCATCGGAGGAGGAGATGAGGTGGTGGGTGAGGTGGCAGAAGCAGTGCAGAGAGGGATGTGAGAATGGCAGGAGGGTAAGAGAGGGAAACATACCTGTTGACGGCGTCGGAGGAGGAGAGGAGGAGGTCGTTGAGGGGGCGGAAGCAGTGCAGCCCGGCCAGCTCCTGCCCCTCCATGAGGCGCCTCAAGTCGTCCATCACGTCTAACGCGCCCGCACAGTCGCCCGAGGACACCAGCTGATGGGATGGAAGGGCGGTGGGATGTTGAGGAGTCAGAAAGGGGCGTTGGGCAGCAAAGAAGGATGGGAGGGCAGGAAGCAGGGGGTGCATGTGGCAATAACGAGCACCCACCAGCTCGCCGCCGTCCATGAGGCGTCCATCTCATCCACGTGCAGGCACAGTCACCTGATGACACCAGCTCATGGGATGGCTTCTTACCCAACTGCTCCTTACCAGCTTCAATGTCGCCATGGCCTGGTGAACGAATGCCACCAGCTTCAGCTTCTGATGCAGCTGCAGCAGATTCTCCCGCCGAACCTTGGTCGACTGCAGCTTCCGCGATCCTTCCAGCAGATCCTCGTCCAGCATCCCCACCGTGCCGCGCAACAGACGGATGCGATCGCACGTCTCCACGATCCCACGGTTCAGATCTTCCAGTTTTTCCAGGGCCTCGAAGAACGAGTCGGAGCGAGAAGAGATTTCTTTAACTAAGTGCACCTCGACAAGGTCTAAGTAATGCGATAATTTCTCCTGTAGAAGCATATTTGCGGGAATGGAGGGAGACGGGCAGACCGTATCAAATATCTCCTTCCGCTCAAGAGCAAAATGCTCGTCGAAATAAACCGGGGGTATTTCCCTGAGGCACGCTGCTAGACCCTGACCTTCTGACCGCGATGCTAGAATACCCTTCCCTTTCCGTTCCTCTCTCCCTTCGCTGTCCACGTCAGCACCTGGTGCCTCCCCAGTGGCCAACTCCCACGTGGAATGTTCCTGTACGTCCACGAATCGTCCGTACGGCTCCCGCATCCGCTGCAAATACGGCTGAAATTCCGACATGGGAAAATCCTGAATTTCCGGCGGCAAAGGCGGAGGACCCTCTAGAACCGGCTCCAGCGGCCGCTGCGCGGTAATCCAGGTCCACGCGTTCTCGGTTCCGTAAATTCCGGCCTTGCCGAGGCGCGGGTCGTTAAGAACCGACGCGAGGCTCTGGCCGGATGAGTACGCGAGTGCTTCCATCTCCTTGTGGCTGCGCGGCGTCGACGCGGCGCTCGAGCCATTTGCGGATTCCTGCACGTTCCCTGCGCTCCGCGAAACACGGAGGCCCGATTCTGGTGTGGTGGGAAGGGACAACTGCGCAGGATGCGCGGCAGCTGACGTGTCCATGGCGATTGGATCGCGGACGGTACTGTTCAGGTTAGGAGTGAGTTGTAACAGAGCCCATTGGCTTGACGGGTCGTCGATCGATCCTGTCAGAATGAGTGGCTGACTTCCTTGCGTGACAGAAACGTTGATGCAAATCTAATATCTAGAGAAGCTACTGACAACGGCTCTTGGAAACGCGACTTGAACATTATAAAGAGGATTCCGCCATTCGGTTTGCTGGCTGCAATTTGAAGGTGTGAGAAATAGATGTGACCTGAGGAGACGGAGAGAAACTGAGGTGGGGAAACCAGGTTGACGGTCGCCGTTTGAACTGCCGGACAGAGAATGACTTGGGACGGCTAAGCTGTGCAAATTCTGTCAGAGCCCAGTTTTCGCGCCTTTCGCCTGTCGTCAGTTCCCGAACAACAATTCCAAGAATCAGAATGAATACACCAACGAGCCTCAATTGCTCGCACGTTTGGAATATATTACACAAATTAGAGCGATTTACAATATGAATTTATGAATTGCTTCTGCGATACCATCTTCGTCGTTGCTTGCAACTGTGGCCTTGGCAACAGCCTTGGTCTTCTCGGAACCATTCGCCATAGCCACTCCCCAACCCACCATCTCAATCATTTCAAGATCGTTCTCACCATCTCCAATCGCCATAACCTGCAACGGATCACAAGTGGCAAGATTTATTAATTGACGTAACGTAAGACTCATGAACAACATGGATGAGGGGGCATGCATGTGTGTGAGCGTGTGCACGCATGCGTGCCTCTGTGTGTGTGTGGGAAGGGGAGGGGGGGGGGGGGGGGGGGGGGGTGCGTGCGTGCGCGCCCGTGTGTGTGTGTGTGTGTGTGCGCTCGTGTGTGCGCTCGTGTGTGCGTGCGTGTGTTAGCGTGTGTGTGTGTGTGTGAGTGTGTGTGTGTGTGTGCGCGTGTGTGCGTGCATGTGTTAGTGTGTGTGTGTGTGTGTGTGTGTGTGAGTGTGTGTGTGTGTGTGTGTGTGTGTGTGTGAGTTGCATACAGGAAAAAGGGGGTAGCGAAAACGATGTGATGAGGACTGGTACACCACATGAGTAATTGGAGAACAGACCTGCTCAGCAGAGAGCTTGAGATGGTCCAGCAGCACTCGCACTCCCGCCCCCTTGGATTGCCCGGGCGGCAGGATCTCCAGCATGTCTGGCACTGCCTGGGTCACTGTAGCACGGCCGGCTGTAGCGGCCGACCAGAAAGGACGAATGAAGCCGTCAATGCCATGCGGCGTGTCGTAGAAGAGTAACTTCTGCTTGAAGGACAGGCGATGGGGAAAGGGAAGAAGAGAAGCAGGAGAGAGTAGTAAGAGAGAGGGAAGAAAAGTGATACAAAAGGTCTTCATAAAGGATAACGAACAGCTGCTGGGTTCACCTCATTGCAGCTGGCGGGGTCACCTCGTTACAGTGTCACATGGCATGGCTGTCGGGCTCACCTGGATGGGGGTCTCGTTAATGATGTGGTGCACACTCGGCATCACCTCCGCCTGCCACACACACATAAACACGCAAGGAAACAGGAGTAAGCAAATATAAGGGAAATCAACATGACATGAAAATCACATTGCATGTACACACACAAAAATAGGAGCACATGAGCAACATGAACAGAACGAAATAAAATCGCAGGGCATGTCATGGTAAGGACATACCCGTGGCTCGTAGTAGATGGTGTGCAGCGCCTCCACCAATGGGTGATCGACAAGTGTCACACAGCGGTCCCCGCAGAAGCCAATCAGCGCCTTGCCGTGCTTCAGAGCGAACTCAAAGCCCTGTGGGGCGGAGGAAGGGCGGTGAGAAGGCATTGAGGTAGAATTGGAGAGATGGATTCAAATCGAACTCCTGTACTTCACCTTGGAGAGTGACAACGTGAGGGCAGGAGTCTCCTGCCAGTGGAGGAGGATGGAAGCATAACTTGCCTCCTTTACTGCACCGTCTTAGCTGCACGCACCCACACACATGCGCATAAAGTGGGGAGCGGCACACACCTCCTGAGTGACCTCGCTGGGCAGCAGCGCGTTGTGCACCACCTGGCCTCCCTTGCCATAAACCCTCAGACCCTGGCAGGTTGTAATCACACACAAGCAAGCATGCATGCATGCCAGGGCACACACATGCAGAAACAACATGCAAACATCCAGGAACGCAAGAGGAAAGGGTCAAAACTTCAAAGTAGAGCGGCATAGGCACCCATAAGCAGGATCCAAAGGTAGCAGCCCACATGCAGGAACGCCGTGCAAAATACATCAGTCATTATTCGATAACTCGAGCAGCCACCACCCCCCCCACAGCAACCAGCCTTGCAGCAACCAGCCTTGCAGCAACCAGCCTTGCAGCAACCAGCCTTGCAGCAACCAGCCTTGCAGCAACCAGCCTTGCAGCAACCAGCCTTGCAGCAACTAGGGAAAACGTTGCAGCAGCCTCGCATTGCCCGTGGGCCATGGCCATGGGCACCTCAGGAGTAAGCGAGACTCTGGAGGCAAGTAGCTGTAACACCCCTATTCCGAAGCAACTTATGCTTCTGGCAGACCTGCAGGAACACCCGCTGAAGATCCCAGCAGAACCAACCATTCCTACAGCGCCCAGGCCAGACATAGCAGCTGGTATTGCCTTCCCCGTGGCAATGGCAACCTCAGGAGTTCCCGAAAGCAGCACCCTTACTCTAAATCGACTTGTGTGTGTTACACACCTGCAGGAACACCCCCGGGGACTTGTCGCTGAAGATGCCAGCAGCACCAACCAGCCCGGCAGCGCCCAGGGCGGACATGGCAGCTGGCCTCGCCTTCCCCGTGGCTATGGCCACGCGCACGCCCCTGGCGTGTGCTGCTCTCAGTGCCTCCGCTGTGGATGGAGCGATCTTGCTGGCGCTGTTGAGGAGCGTGCCTGGGAGGCAGATGCGGGGGGGAAAGGAAGGAATATGGGAGGAGAATGCAGATGAGAGGCGTGGTACAGTGCACGCCCTTGGCATGTGAGCGCTCGGGGCCTCCACTGTGGGTTGCTGGCGCTGTGGAGCAGCGTGCCTGGCAGTGTGCCTGGCAGCGGAAGCAACGGAAGGAGCAGACAGACGCATTTGGTGTGTGTTAATTGAGAGCCCACGCTCACTCTCGTTGCACATCACACCATCCCTGCCCCACATGCCATCCACACACCACACATACCATCCACACACCACACGTACCATCCACACACCACACGTACCATCCATGTCGCACAAGAGCAGCTGGAACGGGGCTTTCTTGGTCCGCCTCTTCTCTCCCGTCTCCTTTCCCCTCTCCTTCTCCTTCTCTTTGCCCTTCTTATGCTCTCTCTCCTTCTCCGCCCCAAAAACAAGCACTTTCCCAGCCTTTTCCCCCTTCTCCTTCCCCTTCTCCTCCTTCCCCTTCCCATGCTTGCCCTTTTGTTTCCCCTTGTGCTTCCCCGCGCCACCTTCCTCACCACCCCCCCCCTCTTCCCCCTCCCCTGTTACTGTCACAAATCTTGTCCACCCTGCCATAACCAAGCACACAGAGGACATGAGAAGAAGCTTCTCAGCAATTTCAAGGCATTTAGCAACAACTGTCACACCTCAACTCCCTTGCATTCCTTTCCTCCACTTGCATCCATTCCCCTCCATTCCTCTCCTCGCCTCTCCATTCCTCTCAACCTCTTTCCATCCCTCGCCACCCCTTGCACCCATCCCCACACACCTTGCACCATGCCAATCCTTGTCATCCTCGCCTTCACACCCCCCTTCTCACCCTCCTCCCCTCCTCCCTCCGCTCTTCCCTTCTCTCCTCCCTCCCCTCCTGCCTCCCCTCTTCCCTCTCCCCCCCCCACTCCTCCCCCCTCCTCCCCAATAGCAGCTGCCACCAACCCCATCCCCCGCCACGCAAACGCCTCCAAAATCCGCAGCTCCTCTGTTGCCATCTGTTCTGCTGACTCACGCACCGCCGCCGCCAGCTCAGCTTCTGACATCACTGAGTCAGCAGCGCCCTGCGAAGTTCCCTTTGGTGCCTCGTGGTCGTACCCTAGCAGATGCAGCATGCCGTGCACCTGTGGGGGTTGGGGGAAGAGGGGGAAGGTGGGGCAGGGAGGGGGAGGGTGAGGGGGAGGGGGAGGGGGAGGGGGAGGGGGAGGGGGAGGGGGAGGGGTGTGGGAAAGGGGAGGGGGAGGGGGGTGGGGAAGGGGAAGGGAAGGCACAGAGGAGGCATTGGTCATACCCCAGCAGATGCAGCATGCCGTGCACCTGTGAAGGGGAAAAGTTGAAGAGGAGGGTGGAATGAGGAGAGGAATGAGGGAAGGGTGAGGGACAAGGCCACAACGGTCCCAGGAGATGCCGCATGTCGGAGCTGCTCGAGACTTCTCAAAAGCAACGCCATCTGTGGTAGTAGTACCGGAGATCACTGGGGAGCGTGGGATTATGGGACTGGTCGCTCTCTGTGACGTGACCACAGGAGATGTTACCATGAGGAGGAGGAGGAGGAGGAGGAGGAGGAGGAGGAGGAGGAGGAGGAGGAGGAGGAGGAGGAGGAGGAGGAGGAGGAGGAGGAGGAGGAAGAGGAGGAGGAGGAGGAAAGACGTTTGGAAATGCCATTTGCAAGAGCGTCACCGCGACCACGTTACCATGAGAATGCGAAGCTCGTCCAAAAGCGAATGCCCTCTCTCATTGGCTTGCCGCTGTGCCATCTCCACCGATATAATCACATCGCCTAAAAGCAACTGCAGCACAGGAGGTGGTGCGATGGGGCCAACAGAGGGAGGAGGAAAACAACCAGTGGACGGTAGTTTTGTGTCAAAATACGACTACCAACAACACTAGGCAATGGTGGGATGAACGAGGCCGAAAGGCGGGATGAACGAGGCCGAAAGGCGGGATGAACGAGGCCGAAAGGCGGGATGAACGAGGCCGAAAGGCGGGATGAACGAGGCCGAAAGGCGGGATGAACGAGGCTGAAAGGCGGGCGTGTGGGAGGATGAGACAGAGGCAAGAAGCAAAAGCTGGCACAACTAGAGGCTATGCTGAAGCAAGCAGGGGAGTAAAGTGAGTAAGTTACTAGTAGTTGCCTTACCAGAGGGGAGAGTCCCGGAGGCTGGTCTTGGGGGAAGGAGAGCACGTCCGTGGGCGCATCTACACCCCGCCACTCGTTATTGAGCTCCCTGATACAAGCGTCCGTGCACAGCAGCACGGACATCTCCGCTGCCGCCACCCCGGTACCGCTCTGCACCTCCTCGAACTCCTCCATGGCCAGCGCCAGCGCGGACGCCGCATCCAGGCGCAGCTCCTCCGCCAAGGCCTGGCGGAGGAGGGGGCAATGGGGGGGGAGTGGGGAGGGAAAGGGGAGGGGAGGGGCGCGGGTGGGGGGAGGAGCGTAGGGAGGGGTGAGGGAATGGGAGTGCTGGGTGAGGGGAAGGAGTGCTGGGTGAGGGGAAGGAGTGCTGGGTGAGGGGAAGGAGTGCTGGGTGAGGGAATGGGAGTGCTGGGTGAGGGGAAGGAGTGCTGGGTGAGGGGAAGGAGTGCTGGGTGAGGGAATGGGAGTGCTGGGTGAGAAGAAGGAGTGCTGGGTGAGGGGAAGGAGTGCTGGGTGAGGGGAAGGAGTGCTGGGTGAGGGGAAGGAGTGCTGGGTGAGGGGAAGGAGTGCTGGGTGAGGGGAAGGAGTGCTGGGTGAGGGAATGGGAGTGCTGGGTGAGGGGAAGGAGTGCTGGGTGAGGGGAAGGAGTGCTGGGTGAGGGGAAGGAGTGCTGGGTGAGGGGAAGGAGTGCTGGGTGAGGGAATGGGAGTGCTGGGTGAGGGGAAGGAGTGCTGGGTGAGGGGAAGGAGTGTTGGGTGAGGGGAAGGAGTGCTGGGTGAGGGGAAGGAGTGCTGGGTGAGGGGAAGGAGTGCTGGGTGAGGGGAAGGAGTGCTGGGTGAGGGGAAGGAGTGCTGGGTGAGGGAATGGGAGTGCTGGGTGAGGGGAAGGAGTGCTGGGTGAGGGGAAGGAGTGCTGGGTGAGGGAATGGGAGTGCTGGGTGAGGGGAAGGAGTGCTGGGTGAGGGGAAGGAGTGCTGGGTGAGGGGAAGGAGTGCTGGGTGAGGGGAAAGAGTGCTGGGTGAGGGGAAGGAGTGCTGGATGCTACCGCAGGAAGGAGTGGAAGAAAAGGAAAAGGATTCACGAAGCGGGATTTTCCGACATGCGGGACAGCAAGCAGGTCCTTTGACAAGCCGGCCAAGGAAAAGCTTTTAGCCTCCCAGGGCTTTAGGCTGGCGCCAGCACGTACCCATCTCCTGCGAGGCTCCTCCCGCGAGGGTCCTCCTACGAGGGTCCTCCCGCGAGGGTCCTCCTACGAGGGCCCTTTTACGAGGGTCGATCACTCCTCCTCACCTTCCATTTGTCCGTCTGCTCTCGCGCCGCCACCTCCGCCGCCAGTCCCTCGTCGATAATCACCGCCGCCATGAAATCAACGTCACTCGCGCCTCCAGCGCCGCCGCTTCCGCCATCGCCCCCCTCGCCGCGCAGTTCCTTCCCCGCAGCTTCCCCGCCTCCGCCGCTGCTCCCCCGCCCGGAACTAACTTCCACTTTGCCATCGTTGTCCCTTTCCCCCGTCGCGGCATCGCTTTTCGACGCAAACGCCCTAACGAGCTGCCCTCGACCTGCTCTTAGCGCGTACCCAGTTGCAGGCGGTGACGGAATTAAACCGCTAAGACTCCGTAGGCTGGTTGGAACAGCTACGCGGCGCGAGGACAGGTAAGTGCCGTTGCTGCCTCCTACAGCGTTAGATACTGCAAAGGCATCTGCAACGGGGACCACTGACGAAATCTCACGTCCCAAAAACGACACCGGCAGTCGGCTTGTATTGGGGCCGAAAACGGGAACGTCTCGCAAGGACAGCGCGCCATGGCCCGCTGTGATTGGTCGAACAGACCGGACCGTCCGCAGGATGCTACCGAGGCGGTGCATGGGCGACTGTGCGACGGCTTGCGACGATGGCAGCACGGCGGATTTCATTTGAGCTGCCGCCAGCGAGCAGCACCACAACGCTTCTCCTGCTGCTGCTGGTGGAGCTCAGCACAGATTATGCCTTGATGGTGAAGGTGGCTTTTTGCGTAAAGCAGAAACGGTGTCAGGAAGGGAAACTCCCACGTCATGGAGCTCGGCATTCGAGGAAATGACAAATCGCCCTGTTTACGAGTTTCCGATTCCTTTTGGCAGTGGTTTTGACACCGCCTCGCTTTTCCGCTCGCGTCCGATTCCTTGGGGCAGTTTTTTTCGACAATCCCAATTTCCTGTGACTAGGGACATTATAAAATATACCTGGCAAAAAATAAACCCCTCTCGGATGGCTGGCCATTTGGGAGGGATCAGCCCTAAACACCTTGCCTCATGGTGTTTAGGGTTGATGCCTCCCAAATGGCATGCCATCCGTGAGGGATATATATATTTTTTGTCCCGAGCTGCTCGTTATTGACGCGACGATATTATTCGGGATATCCCATTACACATGATGCCCAACTCGTGCACTCGAATTTGCCTTGCACCGGATGGAAACGCTGCACCCGAGGTTTTGCCCCCGGGAAGTTGCTCCCACGGTACAGGCACATGGATGGCATAGCACAGTGGACGCGCTTCGACCAAAACTGAACGTGCATCACAGACCAAACCAGGTTGGCCCAGGTTTGCCCTGTTTCTAGGCTAGAGTACAGACTTGCGAAAGGGGTGGACGAAACGTCGTCAGCATCGTGCGTGCATTCGCCTGACGCTCACTGTCACGTAAGGTGGGTTCAACGTGCGTAAAACAGACAAGAGGGTAGGTTCAGAAAGCCACGTGTACTATGCATTTGTTCAGTACAAACGCATTAGCAACCAAGCGTTGTTTGGGCACCACACGTCATATAATGCTTTGTGTGGTTACACGGTAGCCCATTCGAAATTTCAAAGCAAATGCATGACATGAGCTTGACACACATGTTCCCAAAGCCCTTGCGAACACAGACCTCTGTGAAAATGTGCAATCACTCCAAACAAGATAAAATGTAGACATTTTGGCCCGTCAAACATCGTCAATCATAGTAACTCCAGCACGGCACCATGCCTCGCTTCCACCGCCGTTCTCAGCTTCTGGTGCACATCAAGCGCGCTATTTGCGCCCACCATGTCGCGAACCCCCTCCTTCGTCACGTGGACCTGGCGAGGTGGTGTTATACACGCTATGGGATTCGCCCTGACCGTTCCACGGTCAGCCGCACTTTGAAAGGTGCAGAGCGCTGGGCAGCTGCTTCGACGACTGTCAACACTGTGCGAGTTCGTGGCGGCGCGTGGCCTGAGCTGGAGCAGGCCATGGCGCGTTGGATTTCTAACGCGGGACCCGCCGGCGTGCCGCTGACCCTGCAGACTATTCGCGACCATGTCGCGACCATGGCGCGTCGCATGGGTATCCCGCCTACGTTCCGCTGCTCCATTGGCTGGGTTCGCCGTGCATTGAGGCGTCAGGGTGTGAGGTGCCGCGCCGCGGTCGGTGAGGCGGCCAGCGCAGACATTACCGCCGTCCGCAACTGCCAGCAGAAACTTCCGCAACTGCTCATGCATCTCTCGGCCAGGCCGCGCGATACTTACAACCTCGACGAGACGGCGCTGTGGTTGTCCGTGCTCCCGCGCAGGACCTACAGCAACGGTCGTCTTCCCGGCAAGAAGATTTCGAAGGAACGGCTCACCGTCGCATTCCTCGTCAATGCCGACGGCAGTCACGCGTTCCGTCCGATGGTCATCTCGAAGGCTAAGCGCCCGCATGACTTTCGGCCGGACTACGACCCCAACACGATTTGCTACTGGCGTAACAACGCCAAGGGGTGGATGACGGCGCCTGTGAGTACATTTCGTTTTGATTGACCGTACCAGGGTTGCTTCGTTTGTGTGATTGTTTGGCCCGCTACTTAACGGTCTCATACACCGTGATGATCACACATCCGCGCCATCCCCAACTCCCCCCCATCCCCCACACAGCTATTCACACATTTCATCGAGCAACTCAACGCGGCGATGTATGCGGAGGGCCGGCACATCGTCATCTTGCTCGACAACGCCAGATCGCACATGCTCAAGAGCGGGATGGCTTGGAGCGAGGTCATTCACGGCTTTCGCACGACCTGCATGAGCAACGTCCGTCTCGTGTTTCTGCCGCCAAATACCACGGCATTCACCCAGCCCCTTGATCAGGGGATCATTGCCACCGCCAAGGCGCGCTACCGCCAGCACTGGCTGCGGAATTTCACGGCTCTGTGGGCGGCGGACGGCACAACAAGCGCATCTGCGAAGTTCCGCCCGAATCTCCGCGACGTCCTGGCGTGGCTGTCGGACGCATGGACGAGCATTGGGCCCCGCACCATCCAGCGGTGCTGGTGGCGCACCGGATGCCTCCCGCGTTCGTGGGCCATGGAGCTCACGCATGTTCACGACGGGGATGGTGACGGTGGCGAAGGCGAACGTGACGGGACACGCCTGGATCCCTTTCCCGAGATCGACCTCGACGAGGAGATCGGGGATGTCGGGATTCTCATTTCCCGCCTCGGGCTCGGGCCCAGCGCTATGCCCGCCGCTGAGTATGTCGCCATCGACGACGATCAGCCGACCTGCGCTGAGACCGGCGAGGACCCGTTGGCGGGAGAGCCGGGTGCGGCCATGGTGGCGGAACTTTGGGAGGCGCCGACCACTATGCAAGCCGTGTACGAGGATGGCGACCCCGTGAGCCGGGAAGCGCGGCGCACGGCACGGGCGGCGTGCGAAATGCTTATCGGATATGCGCGGGCCACTAGCATCACGCCGCGCGACCTGTGCCACCTGTTCGACATCCGCAATCCGCTCATCATCGAGCGGATGGAGCGGGCGAGCCCGCCCCTCAATCTGAACGTGACCCCGCCCCCCGCAGCTACGCCGGGCGCAACCCCTACGCCCGACACCCCACGTCCGCGCGGCCGTGTGCTGCCTGGCTGGATGACCCAGCCTTCCCGCTGGCAGCAGCTGCTGGACGCTGGCGTGACCGCCGTGATGGGCGGATACACTGACGCATCAGAGTGGATGCGTCGGTGAGGGGTTTTCACAACCCCCTAAGGAGTTGAGTGCTCCTTCCTGGGCACAAATGTGCACGACTTGTGCACAATTGTGTGTGCTTCATTTACACCTGGCAATGAAGTTGAGGACCAGGTGGCTTGACAAGATTGGGGAGTAGAGTGGGTTGCATGTTTCAGACTAAGTTGGATGTTTGCTGTAATTGCCATACCATTTGTCATTGATAACACCTGGTAACAAAGAGCACCCACTAATGCCAAGTGTGGCCAACCCACACTGTTACGGAACAGACAAATGAGCTGGTTACCATTATTTTTTAGAAGCACTTTACAAGTGTAACGAAACCTACGAACACTGGCGAAATGCATGTGTAGCTTATGAGCCCCCTTAACAAGGCAACCGGGAGTGGCTCAAACGGGCATCATATGTAATAAAAAAATAGTATTAGTCTCTGGACTCAAAAGGGAAAATAGCGTAATTATCTGACCGAAGGTATCGGACGCGAGCGCAAAATAAGGCGGTGTCAAAACCACTGCCAAAAGGAATTGGAAACCCGAAAACAGGGCGATCCGTCATTCCCTCTCGGCATTCCCTGAAAGTTTCCAGGTCAGCACCACCAGGTTTGAATTGTTTTTGGAAATTCCCCGCCAGAGAGGATTGAAGTGTTCACAGCCACAAGATTTGTTCTCCTCGAGAAAAGATTGCTACGAGCCGCAAAGAGCTGGTCATTTACTGTACCAGTTCCATCATACGTATACGACGTTGTCTTTATGTTTCCTTCAAACCCATTCACTAATAATTGATCGATTGCTCCAGGCTCTACCCAAGTCAAACACATCCTATGCGTAATCGGGCCCTTAAGAGCTCTAAAAACAAATTTGAATCAGCAAAATACAGCGTATGCTCTACTTCAGGTAAATTCACGCCCACAAATGTACCTCATGTCATCCTTCATTGTTGGCAACGCTGCTTTCCTTTGCCTCTACGTGAGCTATCTCCTCACCGCCCCCACTCAATTCGCTCAGCGTCGCATCTGCCAGTCGTTTGCCACGCCCTTCCTCTTTAGTCTCCGTGTCTGTGCCAGCAGGCTCGGCGGCTGTGGAGGGTACGGGGTACTCGTGCCGCGCCTTGCGGTCGCGCCAGAGGTCGACCATGTGGTCGATGGCAATGTCAACGGCATCGCGCACGTTGGAGAGGACATGTGAGGGATCCACATAAATGAGGGATGGGATCATGTGGATTACCTGAGGTTGTAGGGATGGTGGGGGGAGTGGGAGGGAAATGTTTTGAGACATCTCAAAAGACCATGTGGTGGATGTGTCTAGCTATGTCGACAGCATCGCGCACGTTGGAGAGGACATGTGAGTGATCCACGTAGATGAGCGATGGGATCATGTGGATCACCTGATGTTGTAGGGATGGTTGAGGATGGGAGGAAAAAGGGGAGGATGGGAGGAAAAAGGGAAGGAGGGAGGGGAGGGTTGGGGAAGGATGGGTAGAAAGGTGGAGAGGACACGTGAGGGGTCCAGATAAATGAGGGATGGAATCATGTGGATCACCTGGGGTTACGGGGGTGGTGGAAGGGTGAAGGGGAAGAGGGGGTGGACGGAGCAGTGGTGAGGGACATTACAGGAACATCAGAGAGGGTCTACTTTCTGAGGGAAGGGTCACATGGATCACCTGGGGAGGAGTGGAATGGTGAGTGAGAACGGCAACTGCTGTGTAAGCGATTGGCATGACTCCCAGCTGCAGTGCACGGTAGCAGCCTTGCTGTGTCCAAACATTTCGAAACAACCTCACCTGCAGCTGCAGCGCACGGTAGCGGGCAGGGGCGACCTTGGAGAGGCGGTGCTCCACAGTGGTCCACTCGGGCACGTCGATGTATGGCAGATACACGGAGAAGGAGTCGGGGTTTGCTGGTGGGGGCATGGGGGAGCATGGAGTGGGTCATGGGCGTAAGAGGAGCATGTTGGAAGGAAGGACTCACGGTTGGCTGCTTGGGGCATGGGAGCAGAGGGGTTATGGCAGGGGCATGGGGAAGCAGCATGTGGAAGTGGAGTTGGAATGGGCTGGGTGGGATGATGGGGGCATGGGGCAGGATGGGAAATATGACCATATCAGATAGGAGATGTGATGATATGATATGGGACATATTATCATGTGCGATGGATCCTGTCGTTACGTGCGAGAAAAAGTCATTATATGCAATGGGACAGGTGATCATGTGACATGGGACATGCGGGTGGCAAAAATGCGTAGAGGGGAAGTGCTGGGAGTAGAGGAAAAGAGGGCGTAGGTGCGGTTCCAGCACAGGTGAGGGCGTAGGGGAAGTGCTGGGACTTACAGGGGAAGTGGTGCTGGTAGAGGGCGTAGGTGCGGTTCCAGAGCATCACGGGCACAGCCCCCGCCACGAGTGAGTCCATGAGGTAGCGCAGCCCGAAGTTGCTGCCGTCCTGCACTGCGTACTGTGCTGACAGATACAGGTCTGGGGGAGGGGCGGGGGGGGTGGAGGGAGTAGAGGAAGCAGGCATAGTGGTTAGCAGAGTCACAGCTTGTAGTTGCTGCCGTCCTGCACCGAGTACCGTGGTGATAGGTACAGGTCAGGAGGGGGCGTGGGAAGGGGCAAGCAGGAAGAGCAAACAAAACATGTAGGGTGGTGGTTAGCGGCACTAAAGCTTGTAGCTGCTGCCGTTCTGCACCACGTACAGCGCTGACGGGTACAGGTACCTTCGCAACCCTTCCATCCCTCCCCCACCTCCCACTCACCCATGATCTGCTCGCGGCTGCAGTTGAGCAGCGCGCACGAGGTGGACGGCAGCGGGCACTGCTGCACCACCGCCTGCCGTGCTGGCTTGCCACTCCCCCTCCTCTCACCCACCCACTCACTCATTCACTCACAACCTCCCATCCCTCCCTCCCTCCCCCACGCACCCATGACCTGCTCATGACTGCAGTCCCCGCGGCTGCAGTTGAGCAGGGCACACGAGGTGGACGGCGCCTGGCACTGCTGCACCACCGCCGCCCGCGTCTTGGTGGCCGCCTCGGGCTCCTTGCTGTCGGGGGGAATGATGCATGCGAACTGGTACGGGCGCTTGGCACTGCGCACTGTGGCCTGGTGAAAGTAAAGGGAGGGGAACGGGGAAGGACAATATGATGTCTTGGTGGCCGCATCGGGCTCCTTGCTGTCGGGGGGAATGATGCACGAACACGGGTATGGGCGCTTGGCACTGCGCGCTGTGGCCTGCAGGGGCGAGGGCAAGTGCGGGTGATGGAGGAGGAGGGGGAAGGGGGTATGAGAGGGACGGACAGCACGGTGTCTTGGTGGCGGCCTCAGGATCCTTGCTGTCCGGTGGGATGATGCACGCGAACTGGTATGGGCGCTTGGCACTGCGCACTGTGGCCTGGTGATGGAGAGGAACACAGGGGAGGGGGAGCAAGGGAGGGGAGGGGGAGCAAGGGAGGGGAGGAGTATGGGCAAAGACGATGCACACAAACTGGTATGGGCAAGACGATGCACACAAACTGGTATGGGCAAGACGATGCACACAAACTGGTATGGGCGCTAGGCACTCCGCAATGTGGCCTGGGAGAGGCGAGGGGCAAGGGTGGAGAAGTGGGAATGACAAAGAAACACGGTGTCTCCCGCTCCTTGCTCCTGTGATGACAACATAGCACCATCACCCGCTTCACCTCTCACTGCCTGCCCCCCTTCTTCCCTCACCTCCCCGTTTCACTCAACTGCCTCTGCTCTCACCTGCAAGCGCCGCAGTTGCTTGGAGGAGATGGGGTGGAAATCCGTGGGGAAGGGCAACCACACCACACCACACACCATGCCACCATTACCACTTCAAATCTCTCCCGCTTCTCTCCCCTGCTGCGGCTCTCACATGCCAGTGGCGCAGCTGCTTGGAGATGGGGTGGAAGTCTGTGGGGAAGGGTTTGTGGTTCGGGTTTGGGGATTAGCGGCCCAGGCATTAGAGTTTGAGGTGCAGCCCCTCTCACCTGCCAGCGGCGCAGCTGCTTGGAGGAGATGGGGTGGAAGTCCGTGGGGAAGGGCAGCCCGAACGAGTCCTGGTCGTCCCACGCGTAGCGCTCCACCTCCAGCTTCATCATCTGGGGGGGGGGGAGTGGGGAGGAGGCGGGAAAGAGGAGCGGCGGGAAGCTCGAGTTCCACATAAAAGCGCTCCACCAGCTTCATCAGTTGGGGGGGATGGGGGAGGGGAAGGAGGGAGAATGGGGGGGAGAAGGGAAAGCAGGCTGACATCCAGGAATGCAATTCAATCCTGAGTCCCATAAATACTGCTCCACCTCAAGCCCTCGAATGCAGCGATGACCCGAGTCCCACACATAGCGGTCTCCCTCCAGCCTCACCAACTGGGGAGGAAGGAGAGAAGAGACGACGAGAATGAAAGGGCTCCCTTAAAGCCCAAGTCTCAGAGCAGGACTGCTTGGGCGCTCTGAACTGCACACGAGTCAGTCCCTTGCAATCGAAACTCTGACACGGCATCTGCTCCAGGCTAGCGTTGTCCGGCATGGGATTCACTCACCTGGGGCACCATACATCGCACTTGCTGCATGGGGCACCATACATCGCACTTGCTGCATGGGGCACCATACATCGCACTTGCTGCATGGGGCACCATACATCGCACTTTGCTGCATGGGGCACTGCATCGCACTTGCTGCATGGGGCACCATACATCGCACTTGCTGCATGGGGCACCATACATCGCACTTGCTGCATGGGGCACCATACATCGCACTTGCTGCATGGGGCACCATACATCGCACTTGCACATGCAGCGCACACACAACTCGCATGTACGCAGTGCATATAGCGGACCCACGGGCATGAACTCGGGCATCTGCTCGAGGTTAGCGCCGTCCAGCACGGGGGAGAGCGAGCAGTGCACATCCACCTCGTGCGACAAGAGTCACACTCGCCATGCAGCACCCACATGGCTCACGGCACACAGCACACAGCACACAGCACACAGCACACAGCACACAGAACACGACCACTCACGGGCATGAACTCGGGCATCTGCTCGAGGTTAGCGCCGTCCAGCACGGGGGACAGCGAGCGGCGGAAGAGCCACGTGGTGCGGCCCAGGCCAAAGAAGTGGTCCTTGGCGCCGTACCTGGGAGGAGGGGAGGGGGGGGGGAGGATGAACACACGAGAGACAGGAATTGGGAACGGTGGAGTACGAGCAGTTCATGAATGATAGCGCGCCCAGCCCAAAGAAGTGGTCCTTGGTGCCGTACCTGCGATGGGGGGAGGGGGCAGGAGAGATAGGAAGTGGGGGAGTGGGGGTAGTGGATGCACAGCATTGGAATTGGGTGACTGGGGAGCCGGAATTGGGTGACTGGGGAGCCGGAATTGGGTGACTGGGGAGCCGGAATCGGGTGGCGGTAAGCAGAGAAGAGCCACGTGGTGCGCCCCACGGCAAAAAAGTGGTCCTTGGCACCGCACTTGGGAGTGTGGGGGGGGGGGGAGGGGAGGGAGGAGATGGTAGGCGCGCAAGGAGCTTTAGACGAGCACGAGATGGGATGAGAAACGGGAAATGGAAAACAGAAAGCGAGGAATAAAAAAGGGAAGATGGGACAGGCAGGGCGGTGCATGGCTATTGGTGCGGTGCATGGCTATTGGTGCGGTGCATGGCTATTGGTGCGGTGCATGGCTATTGGTGCGGTGCATGGCTATTGGTGCGGTGCATGGCTATTGGTGCGGTGCATGGCTATTGGTGCGGTGCATGGCTATTGGTGCGGTGTGTGCACCAAGTTGCTGGAAGCACGCACCGTTTGAAGGCGGGTTGGCGGCGAATCCACCGCGCCAAGTCATCGTAGTACTCGTCGATGGTGCTGTTTGAGAAGCCCAGCACGTGCTCCAGCTGCAGCCCTGCAGAGAGTCAGAGAGAGAGAGAGAGGCACAGAGAGGGGGGTGAACACACGGGGGAGACGGAGAGCGTTAGGTGAGGAGGGGGAATGACGTTGCAGTACTCGTGGATGGTGGCGGTGAGAGCTCCACCACGTGATGCACTCGGTGGTCCATGGCCCCACATGCAGGCCCGCAGAGGGACGAGGGAAGAAAGGACTGCTTGAGAGACATAAAGTGGGGAAGTGGTAGTGTATACATCGTCTAGCGGAGGGAGTCCAGCGGCCTCTAGGCGCACGTGCTACAGGGGCATGCCTCTCCAGACGTGCACGAGGTCCCTCTAGAGTCGACTCTAAAGTGCCGTGATGCACGTACCGGGGTAGAAGGGGACGTAGAAGAGGTGCGCCTGGGAGGGGTGCGGCGTGAGGCAGAGGTGGTTGCGCAGGCGGTGGTGCAGCAGCAGCTCCGCGTTGTACAGCGACGTGCGCCACCAGTGCGCCACTCCCGCGTACTCCGGCTTCTGAGCGCGGTCGGATGGGGAGGATGGGGGGAAAATGGGGGGATGGGGGGAGGATGGGGGGATGGGTGATGGGGGAACACGGGGGATGGGGGAAGAGGAAATGGGGAATTGGGGATGGGCCATGGGGAATGGAGGCGCTACATGGGAAGGGAAGTGGGGTGCATGAGGAAGGAGAGGGGGTAACTGATAAAAGCCAGAGAGCGATCAAGAAAGATGGCGATCATTGCTCTTCAGGCGGGTCAAAAGTTGACTCTCTACTGGCGGGGAAATTATGAACGCTACTGAGGAGAGGAGAATGGGAGCGTAGATATCGAAGCACCTTGGAGTGGTATGGCACGCCCACGCCCATGGAGCTGAGCTGCGAGCAGCATTGTGCAGGCAATGACTAAAAACCCTTGAATCCACCAACGGTCTCGACGCACCTTATAAGTTGACTCAGAAGTGACTCGACGCACCTTATAAGTTGACTCAGAAGTGACTCGACGCACCTTGGAGTGGTAAGGCGCGCCCATGCCCATGGAGTTGAGCTGCGCACACCATTTTGCAGGCAACGTCTAGTACGAACCGTCAATGGCACCAAGGCGGTGTCTCGTAAGAACCCTCAAAACCACCCACGGTTTCGACGCACCTTGGAGTGGTACGGCACGCCCATGCCCATGGAGCTGAGCTCCGCACAGCGCTCGCCCGTGTCGTCGCGGCCGCGGCACTTGGCCAGCACGCCCTGCACGCGCGGGGTGGGGGGGCAAAGGAGGGAGCACGCCGTGATCCAACGGCAAAGGAGGGAGCACGCCGTGATCGAACGGCAAGGGGGTAGCAAGGGACAGAGGCCGCCGTGATCGAGCGGCTAATACAGGATATTGTTTCGAAGCTAGGCTATCGAGCGACTGGAGATGTAGAATCGATCTTGTCCACAGTAATGTGGCAAGCAGCGAAAACGGATTCATAAGGGTGCTGGGGCTGGAGGAGAGGAGAAGGTGGTGGATGCAGCTCGATTAACACACGGTTTTTATTCACACTTGGATTACGGAGTTCTGATGACACACCTTGTGTATGGTTACATGCTTTGTTCTCCTTCACCTCCCAGTAATCATGGCTGTTCTCCCCTTGAAACGAGAAAATGGGGGAATGGGAGTGATCCAGCCATGCAGCTCACTGATCATCACTCACCTTGTTGAATCTCGCAGGCAGGTTATACATGTAGATGTAGCGGCCTTCGCACACGCGAGCTATCGTGTCGGGATCGGCTCTCTTGGTTTCCGCTTTCTCCGGTACGTCATAGTGCAGCCACGTCACCACCCCCAGGCATATCACGATCAGAGCTAGCAACCGAAGCCTACCCGCTCGTCCGCTCCCTTTTGACGGGACTCCGTACGATTTCATCATCTCGATCTGGATGTCAGATCCAGGACAGTACCGCGGAAAGGTTGAACAAGCTTCCCTCTTGCCGAGTTGACTTTAAATATCGGATACCCTGAAAATCAACACCCTAACTTGAGAAGCCAACTCGTTTAGCTGGCTCAATCGGAATCTGTCATTCCAAGACTGTTGGTTTCTGTATTCCCTAAATTGCCTACTCCAACTGCGTTAACGAATATCAAGCTGCAAGCATTTCATATGAACAGCGGATTGCCACTACGGATGAACCTCCGCTCTAAAAAAAACACGTGTCAGCCACAAACAGCACCAGGAATGTACTTTCCTTTGTAGTGATTCTACCCAATTCGACTGCTAAATGGTGGTGTTTTGTTATCCTTTGTACAACCATCTATCTCACTCCCGTCCCGACTTCTGTGATTGTAGCCGTTTTTACTGGAAGTCTGGAAGAACCTCGTGCAAAGGAAGGACACTGATGGTATGCCAACCGATCTCATAACCGGAGCTTCAGGCTTGTGATCCACATCGACGGTTTGATTTGATCCATCTTCATCGAGCCTCCCCCGTGCTGTCAGGTGGCGAGGGGGAACTGACAAACCGCGGTTTGATAAAGGTATGGAAAAGCGGGAGGTGAAGCAAACCTCTGGTTTTGAGGCAAATCAAACGTGGCACAGTGTCTGGTCTGGAGGCATCGAGCCAAGAGGTTTGGTTGGGGTAGGCTTGACGTGGGGCAGCCTTGAGCTGATTTGAAGTAGCGGTTCCGCCTCGCACAGATTGGTCAAGAGGAGCGAGACGTGCCAAATTGTACCGTAACTCATTTACGAATTCATCACCTGACTAAACCCAGGTATACCGTATTGTGCTAAAGAAACTCTGAAACATCTCATTAGTATCCATCAAACAGCATCACATCAATCTCCGCTGTTGATGGTCACTATACACCAGACCAGACTGACGTGTCATTCCATTATCTGCTCAGAAGGTGCCAAGGTGGCACAATTCGACTCCAATAGTTTCTGCAAAAATAAATTTTCATGAACAATCTCAACAACGAAGAAATTGACTTGCAGGCACGATACATCATGCGGTAGCTTACCGCAGTGGCACCTTGGGCCTTAGCTCGAAGACGGACCAAAGAGTGGTCCTGAAGAGCATTCATCGAGCACACAAGATGCTCAAACCTCTCTTCCCTGGGCACTGCCTCCTTGACAACTGGGGGGAGGGAAGCACAACTGGAGGTATTGGTGCAGCTTTCCAATCACCCGTAAATGCAGCACAGCTTGACTATGCAACCAACCTGCAAAACTTGGTGTAAACTATATGAAGGACTCTCCCTGGTATGTACAAGCGTGCAGGATTTCGATGAAGCACCCAGGCTGGAACAAGCGTGTCCTTCATACATGAGAACGCTAGGAGACATGGTAAGCTGCACAGAGCAGAATTACGTAAGTTTCTGGAACCAGCTAGTGCATGTCTTAGGCATGAGAAATGCAAACAAAAATACAGGATACCCACCACAATGCAGCCCCAAAAATAAGCTGAAGAGGCAAAGCTGTCCGGGGAAGAAAATCATCCTGCAAGGAACAGGTTACATGCTTTTCTCACAAACGCATTTTGCACAAGGGAGGAGGAGAAAAGGACAGCTGAGCTCACATCGTATCTTACCTGAAGGACCACGGAGGTGATGACGTCAGAGTACTTGACAGCCAGGTTCAGAGACACAACCCTTGGCGGTGCGAAGGCCAAGCAGTGGAGCTTCCCAGGCGGCAGAGTGCCAATTCGATCTGGCGAGCTTGCAAGGAGAATGGCGAGCAGGGAGGCTATTCCGCTGCCAAGTGAGTGACCGCTGAGAGTCAGGCTAAACCCCGGATTCGCTTGTAGCAACTCCTTTAAGGTTTCAGCCTCTCGTTCAAGCAACCACTGCGCTGCTTGCAGAAGGCCCTTGTGGGCGTATCCTTCTTCAAGCCTCTGCGAGAATCATAGCCACTAGAAATGTTGGAGTTCAACAAAAAAGTTTGCGGAGCCGCGGAGTGCGCTTTTCATGGTTTCGCCAAGCGCTCGGTTATGGAGACAGGCTTGACTCCGGAGATACTCCGACCCTAGCTTCGAAGTGCCCACTTCCTTGCCTCTGAGACAAAACCTCGCTTTGGCAATTTTGGGATGTCTGTGTCGGACTCACCTGCTGCCCCGTTCGGTTGTTGAGCAAGACGGCGTAATCCGCCTCGTGAGTGAGATGAAGACCGCGGATCGCGACGCATACATCCTTGGCGTCCGGATCGAGGAACACGGTGTACGGCGGGCACTGCCCTCTCGTGTCATCGTACGAAACGGATTTCACTACGCGCGCTGGCGGTACGGCATCGCTGAAACGAGGCTCCGTTAGATCTCGTTCGTACACGGAGAGTACGAGATTAGAAACGCGCGTGATATTCTGAACGTCCGGGAGGGTCGCCTCTGGCCAGGACGCGCTAGTGAAGGAGCCGTGCAGGCCGCATCTGATAAACGCGTACTGCGCAAAAACCGCAGCACACGCCGTCGCGCCGAAAATTGCGACTTCCATGTTACTCACGGACATAAGAACCAGGCAGGAACCTCTGGCGGAGATTTAGGTCAGTGTGTTAAATTTCCTGGGAGTTCTGGAGCTCGCGACATCGAGGGCGATTTTTTTCCGAGAATCTTGCTCTGCACCTCGCATGGATCTGATGAATCGCGAGAACTAGCCTCATCGCCCAAATTGTTCCGATGTTTTTCGAGTGACATGCGCTGCGTAGCGGGCAGTCAATGCATGAAAGTCGACAGCTGGTTTGTTGGCAGGAAATGGTTAACCATGGGGTGCAAGAACTGATGATTGACTCTCGTCATGGAACAGACTCGAGGGGCGATTTCTTTGTTGATGTTACGGGTGCAATGGAACGAAGTAGCGAGGATTGCACCAGAGCGTCCAAGAGAACAAAGTACGAGCGACAGCGTGCGAGCTAGCTGACATGGAGGTTCGGGCTAGTCCCGAAGCATAGGCCGAATCGGCTGGGCCAGCAGTGCAAGATTTCGTGAAACAGTGCGCGAAGTTGGCGAAGCCCCATTAGCAGTAACGGGCGAACAACGGCTGCTACTGTACTCGAAGTTGATGGTTGCGGTAAGGAATGTCGAGAAAAATCCTTACACTACCCCCTCCCTCAAGAAGCCCCCTCCGCTATGTCAAATTTCATTTGTATGTGTAGGCTGTAGTGGGGTAGCCTCAATTGAGTACAACACTTTAGGTCAAACCTAGTAGTTGTACTCATCCTTGCTTGCTAGTCAATCATTCCTGCGCAGTTGATTCTGACATGGTATTCAGAGCAAGAAACCTGTTATGTTTTTAGGGCCCACCGATCGTTCCGCTAGTTCTTGCCCGAAGCGCCCTTGTGCTGTCCGGCCCTCTCGCACAGTGTCACGCTGCCCTGCAGCTACTCGCACTGCCTGCCCTAGCACGCTGCCCTGCTGTCACGCGCGTCCCTGCTGCCCGCAAGCAGCTCCTGCCCCGCGCGCCCCTGCTGCCCGCGAGCAGCCCCTGCCCCGCGCGCCCCTGCTGCCCGCGAGCAGCCCCTGCCCCGCGCGCCCCTGCTGCCCGCGAGCAGCCCCTGCCCCGCGCGCCACTGCTGCCTGCGAGCAGCCCCTGCCCCCAGCGCCCTTGCTGCCCGCGAGAAGCCCCTGCCCCGCGCGCCACTGCTGCCCGCGAGCAGCCCCTGACCCGAGCGCCCCTGCTGCCCGCGAGCAGCCCCTGCCCTGCGCGCCCCTTCTGCCCGCGAGCAGCCCCGCAGCCCAGCGCGCCAGCACGCCCCGCTGCTTAGCACGCCAGAACGCCCCACAGCCTAACGCGCCAGTGCGCCCCGCAGGCCAGCGCGCCAGCGCGCCCCGCAGCCCAGCGCGCCAGCGCGCCCCACTACGAAGCGCGCCAGCGCGCCCCGCAACCCTAAAAAAAAAAAAACCAAGCGCGCCCTGCTGCCCAGCGCGCTGCTGCTGCGCACGCTGCTACTGCTGCGCTGTGCCCTGCTGAGCAGCACTGCCCAGGCCGAGCCGCGCCGCCCAGCCCGAGCCGCCGTCCTGCTACTACTGCTGCTGCTGCTGCTGCTGCTGCTGCTGCTGCTGCTGCTGCTATTGCTGCTCGTGCTACTGCTGCTGCTGGTGGAGGTGCTGCAGGGAGTGCTGGAAGAGCCGCCGCCCAACCCCACCGAGCCGCCCTGCTGCTACTACTGCTGCTGCTGCTGCTGTTGTTGCTGCTCGTGCTACTGCCGCTGCTGGTGGAGGTGCGGCTAGGAGTACTAGAGGTGCTGCTGGTGCTGGAGGTGCTGGACCTACTACTAACCGTCACTGCCTGTCATGGCCACTATCACGGCAGTTGCAACAGCTAGGGGTGGACAGCAGCGGTCACTGCCTCTCTCGGACGACCCTGTGAGAGAATTGACGAAAGAATGAATGAACTAGGAATGAGATGGGTACAAGTAGAAAACACATAAGTGTTGTACCCTCTAAGAACTACCCCACTACAGCCTAAATAGACTAAAGCAGATATAAGTTTGACACACCCCCATAGGCGAAGTGGGGGAGAACAAGAGGTCACAAGACCAGTCAAGAAAAGCAAAGCAAGCTCAGGGTGGATCACAAAGTCACCACACAGTCTGAGCACAAGCAAAGGGCCATAAGGCAAGTTCACATGCAGAGTTATATAAAGGAAAGCAAACAGTACAGTGAACACAACCTAGCAAGTGTAAGCATGCAGGTATAAGTATATAGAGTACAGTACAAGCAGAGTCAAGAAGTCAACAAGTGAGGCACAGTAGGGACAAGGCCTAACACAGTACAGAAACGCTGATGATCACAAGGCTCAAGCGCCTTGGTGAAAACATCAGCAGTGTTGGCCTAAGAGGCCACGTAAGCAAGACGAAGCTGGCCACGCTGCTGCAACTCTCGAGCAAGGAAGTAGCGCAGAGCAATGTGCTTCGTTCTGTGCTCCAGTCTGTGCTCCTGACACAAGGCCAGCATGGCCTTGTTGTCGACGTACAGAACTGGAGGAGAACGAGGCGCCTCTCCCAAGTCGGTCAGCAGGTAGGTGAGCCAGCGAAGCTCCTGTGCAGCCATGGCCCCAGCGTAGATCTCAGCCTCACAACTGGAGCTGAGAACAGAAGAAGAGCGGGTAGACCACCAGGAGACAGAACCGGAGCCAATGCTGAAGGTGTAACCCTGTGACGACTGCTGCGTAGCCAAGTCGTCAACCCAGGAGGCGTCAGCGTGACCAGTGAGGACAACTCAAGCCCGTCCTCCAAGCACGAGCCCCATGCCCGATGTACTGCACAAGTATCGCAACACCCTCTTCGCAGCATCCCAGTGCACCTTTCGGTGCCTGCCAGGAGCCACGTAGCGAGCCAGAAGGCTGAGAGGGTATGCGAGGTCAGGTCGTGTGCAAGTCATTAGGTACATGAGGCAGCCCACAAGCTCTGGATACGGGCCACTCGGCTCTACGGACTCGTCCGAAGGTGGAGCTGAGAGCGAGTGACCGGTAGGCAGAGGAGTGGACTGTGGCGAGGAGTAGGTGAAGCCGAAGCGCTGAAGGACCTGCTGCACCATGTGTGACTGAGTCAAGGTAATGGTGTGCTGTGCTCTGTCCCGGGTGATCCGCAAGCCAAGATAGCTTGTCAGCTCACCCAGGTCTGTGCACGTGTGTCTCTTCTGCAGCTCGGACTTCACGTGGGCGAGTGCCTCCGTGTCAGCAGTAGCAAAGACAAGGTCGTCTACGTACACAAGAACGTAGAACGGCGGCAGAGTAGCGTCAGTGCGTAGAAACAGAAAAGGGTCAGCAGTGGAAGGAGCAAAACCAAGAGCAGCAAGAGTCGTCCTGAGCGTGTCGTGCCACTCACGAGGCGCCTGGCGGAGACCGTAGACTGGCCGCCGGAGGCTCCACTGGGTACCAGCAGGAAACGACCCAGTGAAGCCAGGTGGGCGGCGCAGCCAGATCTCCTCGTGCAGGCTGCCCTGTAGGAAGGCTGTGCTGAAGTCAAGCGAGTGGAGCTCGTAGTCACGCTGAGCAGCAACGTGCAGCAGTACCCGAAGAGTGGTCATCTTCGGGGTAGGGGAGAAGGTCTGAAAGAAGTCAACTCCCTGTCGCTGACTGAAGCCACGTGCAACGTAACGCACCTTGAAGGCAGGCGGAGAACCCGGCGGCCGCTTCACCCTGAAGATCCACATGCCACTGACGATGTTCGCCCCAGGCGGGGGAACCTCGTCGACGTAGGTGCCTGTGGACTTCCAGGAAGCCATCTCGGCGTCCATGGCTGCCTGCCACTGAGAGGAGTAGGGACCCTCTATCGCCTCTGCGTAAGAGCGCGGGGTCGGGATGTCTGGTGCATCCGGGTCTCCCTCAGGGGCAAGCATCATGGACACGAGATGAGGTGAAGCAGCGGCAAAGCACTCAAGGTCCTCCTGCCTGTCCTCAAGGACGTCCGTGCCAAGAGCACACTCACCCCCGACGGACGGAGGACAGACAGACGCAGACGCAGACTCAACAACAAGACTAGTGGCGTAGTCTAAGCGACAGGCTGCAGCAAAGTCAACAAGCTCAGCAACAAGAGCAGACGCAGCCGAGGACTCAAACAGAGGGTCAGTGACAGCAGTGGCCAGAAAGCGCGTGACAGTAGGACTAGCAGCACGAAGGGAGTCAGACTCCGGGTCCGGACCGTCAGGAAGAGAGGACGCAGGAGGAGAGGGCAGAGGGACACGCTGTGAAGCAGTAGAAGGACGCAGTGTCATAGAGTGAGTGCCTGGGACAGGAGGAAGACGCGGACGCGAAACACGACCAGCACGAACAGTGCGGACAGGCGACGCAGAACGAGGCGCAGGCGACACAGGACGAGACTCAGGCTCACGACGCTCCGTAAGACCTCTAGTCGGACCAGAGTAAGGAGAAGGACCAGGCAGGGGAGAGGCCGGCTGCAACTGCAACTGAGACTGGACAGGCGGTGGACTCAGGAAAGGAGGAGGAGGACCAGGAGAAGGCGGGGAGCCAAGAACCTGCTGAAGGAGCGGAACGTAGTCCGGCCGCGGCCGCGCAGCGCCTCCAGAAACAGCAGAGACAGAACCGGTACCCTCAGCCCCAGGATCTCCAGTCCCAGCAGCACCTCCAGCAGCTCCAGCACTAGCACCACCTCCAGCAGCGCCAGCACCTCCAGGAGCTCCAGCAGCTCCAGCACCAGCAGCACCTCCAGCAGCTCCAGCACCAGCACCACCTCCAGCAGCGCCAGCACCTCCAGTAGCTCCAGTAGCACTTCCAGCACCTCCAGCAGCGCCAGCAGCACCTCCAGCACCTCCAGCAGCTCCAGCACCAGCAGCACCTACAGTAGCTCCAGCAGCATCTCGACAGCGCCGAGAGTACCACTCACGAAGCCGCCGTGGAGAGAGGGGCTCCCGCCGCGACGGGACACCTAGAGCACCTCCAGACTCAGCACACACAGGCTCAGCACCCCCAGACGCAGTACCCTCAGGCGCCACACCCCCAGGCACAGCACCCCCAGACTCAGCACCCCCATTCTC